ACATCTTTTTGTTACGTAATTTTTTGTGATCGTTAAAAATTAATCGTTTAATTTGCAGCTGGCTTTAGCTTTTTTCTATCAAGAATTCTAAAACTAAATACGCTATAGCTTAGATGTGCCAGTCATAGCGAAAAAAGACACAAGGTCATCAAGTTATGAAAGGCACTTACAATATTAATTAGTGTTTAATACAACAAACACAAAAGCAAAAAGAACACATAACAAGCACATGGCAAACAGTTACTGTACTTACACGAAACATTTTGTTAACATTAGCGTCAAGATTGCATCTTCCAAAAAGTAGAAGGTTACAGAGTGATCTAGAGTCCATATCCGAAACAGTGGAATTAGTGATCTTTTCAAGATGGCAAAAGAGATCTTGCCGCAATATGTCATACCTAGGGCAGTGCAGGAAAAAATGTTCATGATCTTCATTTGCCTTTCCGCAGCCGCAAAATTGTGCAGAAGTTTGTCTTCATTCAAATCGCTAAATTTAAAGCGAAGTTTTGTCAAATTACTTATGCCAATAATGTCATGAACATTAAACGTCGGATTCCTCAATGGTCTGATTATGGCTAAAAGTTTCCTTTTGAATTCGCCAAGGGAAGCCGCGCTTCTTGTCTCATCATCGGGCAGGTTCCATTCATAAAGTACATTATCGAAATAGGTATTTTAAAAACGACCAGTTCTTGGAATATTTGGATTGTATGCTCTTGCATATCAGAGATCTTTTTTTTAATCACAATAAAAACAAAAACAAGAAAACTCAAGTTGATCATTGTTGAGATGGAGGCAAAAACATATCGTTATCGAGTTGCCTCCACACCCAACACCACAAATATTCCAGAACTTTGCATAATACAATATAAATAAACTATAAACATACAATACAGCACAATATAATACAATACAAAACAATACAATACAATACAATACAATACAATACAATACAATACAATACAATACAATACAATACAGTACAGTACAATACAAAACAATGCAATGCAATGCAATGCAATGCAATACAATGCAATGCAATGCAATGCAATGCGTTGAGATTTCTTGTCAGGCCTAAAGACATATTTGGATCAGTTCTCTGATAAATTATGTCTCCATAATCCAAATGGGGTCTCACATATAACTTGTAAACTTGGTGAAGAACTTCCCTGGAAACATACCTAGAAAGATATTTTGGATGCCTATGCCCCTCCTTGCCTTTATAATCGCTTCACGAATATGACTTTGGAACATAAACCCAAGTGTTTATGTTCAAACTTCCTGTCAATTTCATCATTACCAAGAAAAAGTTAGCATGATGAGGTTTTGTCCTTTTGGCGGAAAAAATGACTTCTTCGCTTTTGCTGGCATTAAAGTCCATCTTCCATTGCCATGCCCATAAACGTATCCTTTCCAAATCCCTGTTCAATTGTTCAGCACTGGTGGCCCCATCCTCGACAACAGTAAAAGTGATGTTTCATCAGCAAAAATTTTCACATCACTATCCACATTGTCGATTAATTCATTGATGTACACTAAAAAATGAAGGGACCAAGTACTGATCCTTGGGGTACTCCTGCAGATTTTGTTTCCCATTGTGAATTTTTTCCATTTAAAAGAACTCTCTGTTTTCGGTCTCTTAGAAAATTTCGAAAAAAGATGATAAGTTTTCCAAAAATGACATTGCATCCAATTTGTAGAGCAGACCATCATGACATACTCTGTCGAAGGCCTTTGGGAGGTCTAGAAAAATGGCGCGTGTTTCTTTGCTTGGAAGTGCTTCAAAGCCCAAGTATATCTTGTGCGTTATGGCCAGCAACTGATTTATTGTCGAGTCACCTGGACGGAAACCCGACTGATTTTGAAGCAAAGGTTGTTTATAGTAATATGAAAGTAGAGTGAATCAAATAGGAGCTTCTCAAAAAATTTTCCAAAAATTGGCAACAATGAAATCGGTCGATAATTAGCTATATTTTGTCTACTTTCTTTCTTATGGATGGGAACGATATTAGCTTTTTTCCATACAGATTGGCAAATTCCTGTTTCGAGACATTTCTCAAAAATCAGCCAAAGCGGCTCAACAATTGAGGCATCGCAAATCTTGATTATAGCAATCGATCTATCACATCCGTGGGCTTTCTTTGAGTCCAATGATCGATTAGTTTGAAGACCTTTTCCTTGTCTATATCAACCACTTCGAGAAGGGTCCTGCATCTGGGGCAAAAAGAAAGGAGAGTGCTGCTCCATTGTTGAACAAAGTAATTATTTAAAACTTGCAAAATAAAAAACCCATTTTTTTAACCTTTTTTTATTGACTAGTCTGTTTGGTGCGGTCCAGTATGCTTTGACACCTTGTGTAGGATCAGAAATTTTACGGCCTGATTTAGAATAATAGGTCTCCTTTGCTTTAATTATCAGTTTTGGTATATTGTTCCGTACCCTTTCAAACAGTTCCCAGTCTCCTTGACTCCTACCCCTACTTATAAATATATTTGCTTCAGCGTGCCTTCATTCATTCCGCTTGACAATGCCGCCCTCGTCGATCGATTAAAGGCAGTCTGTCCACTCAATGATTGGCTAACATGAACAATACGCAATTTGCTTTGGCTGGCCCAGCTGGGGTAGTGGATGACATTTGAAACTGCAAGCAAAAAGTTATCGGAAATGTCTAGAAGACTTAATTACTGGAATTGAATGATGATAATGGAAGCATTACCTTTCTGCTGTTAGCACATCTGTCGCACAAACCAAACAGAGAACAAAATTTTTCTAGCCACAGCTTCACTACAACGGCCATTTGATTCAAAGCTCTGGAATCAAAGTTGTTTCTGATTGGTTTAAATTGTTTCATTATCGATCAAGCTCAACGGCACGCGAATTTCGCTCCCGTGAAAATAAAGATGAGCACAATAGGGACAGACTGCTTTTAACCCTGCAGATTCCTTAGGCCACCCCCCTCAGATCACTTTTCGCTGTTCAACCATCTATTTTCAAATCTAGCACTCACCAGCTTATCCTTATATTGCTTCTTACACCTCACCTCATTGACCAAGTTGATATTTCATCTGTATTAAACTATCCCCGAATCAAGAAGGCGAAGCTATCAAAGCGCTTTACGTGCGTGTAGTTGACAAGTTCTGTTGAATTTGGTAAACGGTGCTTGAATGTTGAATTTGGTAAGCGGTGCTTTAGCTTTGAAAGTCAGAGTGCGACGTGAAGGAATAAATTGTAAACATGTATGAGTTCTCCTGATTTCAAAAACGACATGTTTTAACTATTCACGCATTTTACAGAAGACTGAGTTTTCGGCAATCTTTTTTGGATTATCTTGAGTCAAAATCAACTGTGTGATGTCATACACATTCTTTTTAGATTGGTTGTTTAATTCAGTTTGAGCATTTTCGAAGTTCTTCTAGCAGTTAGAAAGCCATCCAAAAAGATAGTTGTGCGCAGATGTACTGATTTTAAAACACTGGGTGAAAGTGTGTAGTAAGAAAGAAAGGAATTAAGGTGATGAAAGGGAAGTGGGACTATGAATGCAACAGAGTATAACAGTGGTGGGGTGATAGGTGGGTGCGTTACTTGAAGGATTCAGATGTATGGGAAAGAAGGAACACAATGAAGTGATCAAGGTCCCTAACTCAGGACCCTAATGACAACAGTACATATTGTACTGATAGGTTATCCTGTTAAAATATTCGATTTATTATAAGGTGAATCGAGAAGAAACAAAACAAGGGGAGTGTATCTGATGACACAGGGAAAAGAAAGCACGTAGCGAAAGAAGCCAAGGGAGAGTGGTAGAGGAAGATGGAGCAATAAAATACCGAATGAACGGTGAGGAGTAAAATACAAGAAGATAGGAGAAGAGAACAAAAGAGGGTGGGCGGTTAACACGAAATATGAAAGATCAATGAAAATTCTAGGCAGATAGGTCACACAGAGCTACATTATTATGTATAGAAGCGAAACGGCAAGTACATTTACAACAAAATATTTCGTCATGCCAAAATTTCTATATATAACATAAGAAAATATACCTTATTTATTTTGATTTTTTTGAAATGCTGTTTTACATAAAGAAGCCCCCTCAAAATATTAAAAAAGGGTTTGAGTCCCCAAACCCCCACGAAAACTTAGGAGCATTTAGAAGGAGGCATGGCTCTCCATTTCAAAAAATGAATAATGTGCTTTTATCTTGGCTGTTTTAAAAATCCACGATGCAATTAACTGTATAACTTTTTGCCAAGATCACAAGGCATGCAAATAAATTCCACATTCCTGCTTAATAGGTGAATGGAAATTGTTAGTGACAAGGGTCTTGAAGGGACGAAGATGAATGGGCAAAGCACGCTCTTGGTTTTGTCAATATATGGCTGGCTGAAAGCTCCATTCGGCTGGCTGACTGAAAGCTCCATATGGCTGGCTGAAAGCTTCACACTACATTTTAGCAAACAACAGGTTAAGCTTCAAGTATTTTTGAGCATGAATAACAAGTGAAGGGCAAAAACACTTGTTGAAAGATCAACGGATAGGTGGAAAATTCATCAATTTGTTTTGCTGATGTATGGGTCGTTTTATAGAAATAATTCAACCGATATCACTACTCAAATACTTCACAAATTTCCACGATATTTACCATTTTCCGTCGCACTATTCTGTTTATCTATAATTAACTTCACATGTTATTTCATCAATTAATAATGTTATTTTGAAGCTTTAAGCAAGCAGTTCCTATTTTTCTTATTTCAACGAGCAGATTCCAGACTCATAACACATGTAGCCTCTTCGTTGTCTGCTGGTTGAAGAAGTTTTTGGTATCTCTCAAAAAACATAACTAGAATCTTTCTTCGAAAGTTCAAAATGCTATGCTGATACCTCTTGCTTTTGTGCTGATTAAAAGACTCAGTCCAGTCAAAAACAATACAGTATCCTCAAGATTTACATGATATAAAAAATTCAGGAAGAAGTGCATGCATTATAACCTTGAAAATTTCACCCACCTTGTGTTCCTGAAAGTTTCAGTAAGGCAATTCTATTTGTTTTGCAGAATTTGTGAGCTTTGAAAACTGTGATGAATTCCTAGCCGTACGAACAACTTGCGCGCACGGTTTGATTTGAAGACGAATTTCTCGGTCATACAAACGGCGAGGAACAGCTGCCTTAGGTACAGCCTAGTGGCTGAGAAGCCATATGTTCCTCTTGTGTTATTCACACGAACTACAGAGGCTGCTTTTCAAATCACAACTCTGATGGAAACAGCGACTGACAAACAAAATAACAATTCCCTTATTCTTGCATTCTTCAGTTTGATAGTAACAGAATGTAGATTGGACATGCCCAGATGAAACCTGAAATGGCGATTTTCTATTTACTAAGCATGGGCTCCGATGCAAGTTGGAAAGTGGGGAACCAAGGGAAATTTTAACAATCAAGACATAAGGATTTTTCAAAAGCTCTATTGTTTTGCAAAAAAGTGGAGGGGCCAGGGCGCCCCCGGCCCCCCCCCCCCTCTTCGTCGGAGGCCCTGCTAAGACTATTTTAGTTGGGGAGCTGAAATTGTGTTCAAATCGTCTTAAAAATCCAACCTGCTAATACAGCAAAAGGACAAGCACTGTTCTAATTTGCCCCATGTCATAGTAAAGCTTTTATTGGCTTTACAAGAAAGGTGATTTTTTTTGATATAGGAAAAGCCGTAGGAAAAGGATAGAGAATTTCACGAAATTTGAATATCAAAATCTTTCTGAAATTAAATAACGCAGACTACTGAAAAGAAGGCAAAAACTGTGAATTCTAATATCTTTGAGATCTATCTTCGATTTTTTAACAAATATAAATTGAGAAAAAATTAGCAATTTTTTTACCTTAAATATGATAGATATTCCCTAAGAGTAAAAGTGGGAGATTGAAAGCAGAAAGAGTGCTTGCTACACTTTAAACAGAGACATTTTTTTCTAAAGAGCAAAAGATATGAACAAGCTTTTAGAAAAAAAAACAAGAAAAAACTTTTTGAGTGTATTCATCACTTAAGAACTCTATTAGGCCCTGGGCGCACTGAACAAGATTTCAGGAAAATCTTCTGACAAACTTAATCTCTATTGTTCATAGAGAAAAGGGATTAAGCTTCTTAGTAAACAAATGCTGATTTTCCAGTGCGGCCACCCAAATTGCCACTGAACCAAATTCACCAATCCTTCAAAGGTTCCGTCGTCCTGCCCCAGAGCAGGACGAACTCTAGAAAACGGAGATGATTAGCAATTAACGCATTTTTCTCACGCCAATACCCAAAGTCAAATCGTTCTTTTGTTTTAAACCACTTTGTATTAACCAAACAGCAAACGACAAAGATTTATGTCAGATTTTTGTGAGTTTTAAGATTGACAAAGATTTATGTGAGTTTTATGTCAGAAATCAGAGCGTTCAGAGCCTTCAGGCCGGGTTACATGATCACTTTTTACCATCACTTGTTTCGATATTGGACCAACATGCTGAAAAGTGATCGTGTAACATACTAAAATTGTCAATTTTTGCTGTAGAATTTAATATGCTTATCAGGTGTTAATCTTCTATCATTGGAAATTTTACTCTAAACGAAAGCAGATTAAAATCGAGTTCATCACTTTTTTCAAAGTCGCCGACAAATTTTCACGTCACATAATGTTTTGATGAGAAGGGAACGGCCTAGAGTTTCGAGAAAAGAAGAAAAAGATGTGAATTGTGCTCAGAAACATAATTGTGCTCAGAAACATTTCAGAAACATAAGCAGAAAACGAATATGAATAATGATTTGGAGTAAATCGAAGAGCAGCACATTACAGAAAAATAAATGCAGTTTAATAAAATACACTCACTTTTTATAAGAAACCATCCTCGACAGTGAGTACCCCAGTTTTTCAAGGTTCACAAAATTTTAGAACTCAAGAGTTTTTAGAATATTTCATTTTAATTCTCATAAAACCAAAGCCTCAATACTTTAAATTTGGTTTGCTAATCACTGTGTAGTTTTTGGCCCATCTGATTTTGGCTAGATGAGATTCTATGGTTTTTCACCACTACCCTCGATTCTGCGCACCTTGTCAAAATGGCTATTTTATTTTATTCGACAAATTAAATGTGACGTTTGACGTAGACGTAGCGCCTTCTTCGGATCGCATACAAGTCGAACAAAATTGCACTGTATTTCGACACAGGTAAAATGTGACGTTTGATCCAGGCCTTATTTTCTTATCAGCCATATTACTCGGGGAGTAAACTAAGCCTAATTTTTGACGGGGACGTGCCATTTTGGTTAAAAATTTGAACCCATAATTCCGCAAATGTCTGAAAAAATGAGACTCATAATTCCGCAAACATGATAAAAACTATACCAATAATTCTGCAAGGCAAATAAAAATTTTAAAGCACATAAAAATCATTAAACAGATTTTGCATGTCCTTTGCCCTAAAATCTAAATATTACACAGACTTCATAGCTTTATTTCTAACTGGTCATTCATTTTGTTAATGCTTAATATCCCTCCTAATTATTTGCAATATTTTTCTAAAATGGTACCCATAATTCTGCAATGTTAAGGTACCCCCCCCCCCCGAGCTTCATTCTTCTACATCTGCGTTACGTTATGGCTTTAATTAGAAAACCATGCGCAAAACAATGGTCTCATTAAATACAGGTGCGAGATACAGTCATAATGCTTGAAATTTTAAATCAGTAACAAAAATTTTCGTCAGATAAATTTTCGTCAGATAAACTACGTCACAATGTGCGGCTCTCGTTCGCCATGATTTTCATATATCTTCCACTGAATCGTGAAGAAGTCATGGTCACGCGTTGATAACTGCATGTAAATCTACAGCAGGAGCATTTTAGGATCGAAAAATATCAAATGTTTACAATGTGTCCATGCTGTGTCACGACCTTGTTTTGATCACCTGTGTAGGCCCACAAAGCTATGGCTTCCTGTTCCAGCTCTTCCCTGGCGTATAATTAATCGAAATTGATACTCATGCAGGGCCGTCGCTACAGACCCTAACCTTGTCGGCAAATCTTCGAAAATGTAAGTTTTGTCGTCAACCTCTTGAAAACTGGCAAATTTTCAGAAGAAAGACAGAGAATTTTGCCATTTTCATATAGATATTATCGGTTGTTGATGACAGCACCAGTCACAGTTGAAATTTATGAAACCCTAACGAAAATCATTGATGATCATTCAAACTCTCTCGTGCTAAAGGCCAGGCGCAGTCTGGCCCGGGTGGCAAAGTGGCGATCCCAACCGGGCCCCCAGACATGTAAAGTAAAGAAAATTACGGGCCCTTTCTGCAAAAGTTGGAGTGGAGAAGACAGTTTTCATAAACTGGAAACTACAGTCACAGCTAAGTCGCAACTAAGCATCAAAATGAAGTCTGCGCGCAGGCCAAAGGGCCCCACTATGACCAACATCCACTATAAAGAAATTCTGTTTCAAATTTCGCACAAAGGCAAATCTGACCTACTTCCTAGAGAAATAATTTGAAACTGTATGTAGAGATCAAGGAGCTGTTGTTTTTAGTTAGTTGTCTAGAGTCGCCATTGCTACATTTCTAGCTAATAATGACCTTCCACACATGATCGAACGTTCCCTAGGAGCATAGGAAGAAAGTTGCGCAGGTAGAAAGCTTCTCAAATTGGGAAATTTTTGGAATCAACTTTGCGAAAGAAGCGAAATAGGAGCTTTGCAAGAACAAACTTTCGCGTTTTAGCGAAAATCATGGACTTTGCGTGAAAAACATTTCTATTCGATTGAGGTTTTTTTTCTATTTTTATTCCACATGATACCAGCAAAACAACGAAAAAGATGTAAAATTCGTCCAACAGCAAAAGGATCAACAGCAAAATTTTGTGGATATTTCACAAAAATAGATTTTCGCAAATTTAGTATTTCGGAAGGTTTTGCGTATCAATCATTCGTTTCTTCCCGTGAAAATTTCTTTCCGCGAAAGTTCCTTCCTTGAAAGTAGTAAGCAACAGTTAAAGGCCTTCCCCTGCTACCAAGTTTTTCTTTTGTCTGAAACCCTCTGCAAGGTGCATGGTTAAAAGTTATAATGAAGTTGTTCTGCTTGCTAATTGTTAAATGAACAACGTGTTTAGAATAATAAAGTTTGGTACAGATTAAGGAATCTGTATCGTTTTAAGTTCTCTTAATGATGTTTTAGTGTGAATAAGTTTGTAGGTCACTAAATTTCAAATTGTAGCCAAGATGCTAGCCTAGACAAATGAAAAATGACACATAAAAGAAAAGAACATGCAGGTTGAATTTTTGATTATTTTCTTGGCTCAATTTCAGAATACTATATGTATAATATATATTAGGTTCGCTTGAAAATATTGCAAAAATTGTCAGACTAGGATTGTTATTTTGAACTGTTATTAGAGTTTCTTAGAATTACAAAAATAACCATTGTTTTGCTGTTATTGTGCAGAGTTTAAGTACATAAATAGAATCCTCGATTTAAATAGAGAACCACAACCGTCAATAATTGATTTGAACTGAGCATATTTTAGCCTTTTCTCGCATTAGTTGGTGTGGCTCAAAAAAGTTTATCTGCCTCACTCTGAACCGGGACCTTTTGGTTTGCTGGCCACCCTGCAATTATGAAACTGAGCAAAATTGAAATATAGCAGTTCGAGAAAAAATATTCGCGAGTTTCATCAATAATAATTATAATTTTTTGAGAACCACGCCCGTATCTGTTGCCACACCCATTTTGTCGGCAAACCACTGGTTTTGCACGCCCACTGGTTTTGCAATTTTCTAGCGACCGCCTTGTTAACTCATGTTGTTCTCCAGAAACGATGAACAACTAAAGGCTTCAAAAATTGTGTCTGAAATGCTCAAACTAAAAGCCGTTGGAACAGAACTGAGAGTACTATCACTTGCAGTGCTCAATTTGCGAATCGCCGTCGTTCGATTCGGTTTGAGGCGAGACCAACGAAATACACTGTGACGTCAAAATTGCGTCACAGTGTCATCAAACCGAAAACTTTTTGTCAGTTTATTCAATTCATTTATCGAAATGCAAGAGCTTATATCTTACAAACTGTAAAAAATATCGAAAAAACATATAACGAATTCAGCAGGTTCAACTCCTCTAGATTAGCCAATAAAATGCAAGTGCAAA